ATACGTATATATTTATTCACTCAATTGCGATTAAAAAATGGTTGCATTTCCATATAGCCTTAGATTGTGTTTTTAATTAGGAGTGTGGTCTTTAACATTAGAGTAGTATAGTACCGGTTGCCATTGAGCTAAAATATCAATTGAGCCGATATATACATATATCACGCTGCGACAATAACACGATAGGATTATGTTTTAAACCGTTTCAGGTGAACTTAGTTACTGAATCGCCTGTCGATACCGTAACTGCAGTCACCCCGGGGTATGGTAGTGCTGATGTGCAGCAAGCATCGCAGGCTACTGTCCCCAAAGCACATGTCGCAAATACAAATGTCGTAAATTCAGTCAGCCCGAACACTCCCCATAGGAGCAAGGTGGAGAACGTAACTTCACCCGATGTTAGGACAACCCATACTACATCGGTACTGGAGCGCAAGGAAAACGTTAAGAACGTTTCCGTAGGTGAGTGTAAAGAAGAGATCCATCGAGCAGCCACGGCACCAGCTCGGACCAACGCTTATGACACGGGTACAGTAGACATCCCTATGGCTTGCCATGACTTTCCAGATCGAGAATACTACAGTGGTTGGCTCAGTCATCCACCTCAAATATTGGTTTGTTGTAGTCTAGAGGCATGACTACATTAGCCAACCTAGTACTAGACCCGCCATAGTACCCATACGCCTTAACTGCTACACAGGAATAGAAACATAGACACTCCTACCAAATGCATGACTTTCTGGATCAAGAATACTAAAGCGGTTGGCTCAGTCATCCACCTCGTATTGGTTTGTAGTAATCAAGAGGCATGGCTACATTAGCCAACTTAGTACTAGACCCGCCATAGTACCCATACACCTTTACTGCTACACAGGAATAGAAACATAGACACTCCGACCACATGTTAAGGGGCTTGTATTCAGATAGGTGGCCATTTTGAGGTTTTAGGGTTTAAGGTTTAGGGCTTTGCTGTATGCTCAAGATGGTACACTGAAACGGATCAACTTGAGGGCATGTGCTGTGACATTCGTTTGGCTTTTCACATAGACGGCAGCACAAAAAAAGTACCGAACATGTCGGCATCACAGGTATAGTGAGCTATAAATACAACATACAACTACACGCATACTAAGCGTTCCCCGTACATAGCTAAAAAGAAAAATACCAGTGGTAATATACAGATATTGAACTATGTGTGGTTAGTTAGGCATATCTTAAGTTTGTATACACACAGCACCAACAGATAGAGTCCGATACTGTCAACTTCACAAAACCATCGATCCATACCATAGGTACACCGACTCTTATACTTAGCGTTGCTTTCCATCCCCCTCTCACAGCCAACAAGTTAATACCCACATGTCGACCTCACAGATACATTGACCTACAGATAGTCATGCATCCAATGTCGACTTCACAGATACATTGACCTACAGATAGTCATGCATCCAATGTCGACTTCACAGATACATTGAACGTGGATAACCATATACATCTGACCGTTAACTGATTTCCCTCACCAAAAACCACAGCAGAACAGGCAAATACAGAACATGTCGGCTTCACAGATACATTAAACGTGGATAGCCATATGCATCTGGCCGTTAACTGATTTCTCTCACCTAAAAACACAGCCCAACAGGCAAATACAGAACATGTCGAATTCACCGACATGCTGGCTGGTCTCGAGGACGAGTTCAGGACACTGCAGGCACAACAGGGGACATTGGAGAAAGCGCAATCGTACTACGAGATTATGGGCTTAACCAAACACTTCACTCCCACAGAATTGAAAAAGGTATCCGTGTGTAGTAATATGTGTATATATATATATATAATACTTATACAGATATATAGTGTCTGTGATTACAATCCAGAGACACAGTAAAATAGTACAATGAAGTAGCCATGCAGTATCATCCAATACTTTTCCTAACAACAGTACCATCGCTATTCCCTCTATACCATTTCATAGAACTACCGAAAGTTAGCCATGACGTATCATCCAGATAAGAACATTGGCCGAGAAGCAGCCGGTGCTGCCAAGATTTTTGCGCTGGTGGCAGAGGCCTATCAGATACTCAGTGATGCACGCTTGAGAGCCGCTTACGACGTCGGTGGCACGGCAAGGTCTGTATATATATATACATATATATGTATATATATATATATATATA